ACAATCTCCTTGGGGAGAAGCTTCTCCAAAAAGTACTCGTGTCGATGAGGATGATGCTTATGAGGAGGTGACTTCCTTCATAAAGATACCAGATATTTTCTCTTCCTAAATTCCACACACCTCTGAGAAGGATGATGTTATTGTCTTGATGTTGGATTTATCCTTCATTTAGAATCTCTTTGAGGGGGATGATATGGAAATTGAATTTAAGCTTTCTTATAGATTGTTTAAGTCCACTTCTATTTTTCTATCATCTATGCTAGATAGGGTATATATAGGCCTCATGTAGTCCCATCAAGGAAAGATATACCTGGAAAGTGAAAGCTAAATCTATGGAGCGGAAGTGCACTAATCTCCAATATGAAGTGAAAATACATGGCTCTCCTTCGACGCTGGCGACTCGTGTAACCAAATTGGAGGGTTTTCTTCAAGAAGAGAAGTAGTACAAGCTTGCTTCTGATTCCATTGAGGAGAAGGCTCGCCAAGTGGAAGAGTACCAGGAAGCCTATGCTTAGGTGACTGAGGCCTTGAAAGCTCTTTAGGATGAAGTTATCGATAAGAGACAGATACTATATAATTCTCTTCAGCAAACTATGAGGGCATGCTTAGAGTCTATGAATGAGTTGTGGAGCAGGCAAGCAAGTTCTTCCCCAATGATATTATTTCTGTAGAGGCATTTGATCCATTTAAATATGCTCACAGGGTGACTAAATAATGCGGTCTCGGTGCCTCTGCTTTAAACGTATTGGCTTGATTTTCTTTTTTCATTGTTATTTTATTTCCTGCAATTCTTTCCAGACTTTTGTGCCTTGGGTGCAATAACATTTAATATTTAAAATAAATCTTTTACCTTGACGATTCACATGTTTTTCACTTTAGAGATTTGCGTCGGTCTTTGTTGTAACATTATTGTCGTTCACAAATTGCTATACATTCGAGATTTCTCTTTCCTTTGTGAGGTTTTTCTTTAGGTCAGACCATCGGTGATCAACAACTATGGGGGGGGGGGGGGGGTGTGTTTGTTTTGGGCGTGAAATCCTTAATTGCTTGCTTTACCAAGGAAGAAATGTATTTTATTATAGTGAAATGGTGAAAGTGCCAATAGAATTTTCCTATTTTTTGCATTTTGGTGCATTAAATAATGTTGCAAATTGCTTGTTGTATTTAGTTACCATTTTTTTGCTGTTATAGTCGTCCTTTGTATTTAGCGTTTGTTGTAGTAGAGAATTGATTTATACATTGCATTTGGCGTTTTGTTTGTGTTCCCTAGACGATGCTTGGTACTTATGAGGTTGATGTAATGTGATTATACTTGGTAGTATTCTCTGCGTCACAGAGGACCATTCCTGACCAAGGGTTGGTTCCTCGTCCCTACACCAAGGCTTTAGTTGGGATCGAGGTGAACGTCTTCGGGCTTCACCACCCACACCTAAAGATTTTTTTATATTCGAGAAGGTGTACCAGCTATGTAGGAGTGCGTTTAATGGACCTTGAATGTGAGACATACATTTGAGTCGTATTAGAATCGCAAAAGTCTATATCGAATATGCAATAGGGCATGGAATGTGCTGAAGTCGTATCAAAACCGGATAGAAACATTAAGTCTATATCGAATACACATTCATGTCGACGATGTGTTTTAAGGTGTATCAAAGATTGTGTATCTTACTCTTTGCATGTGAATTATTTTTATGCTTTGGGTCGAGTATAATGGATTTTAGATGGATTGGGCATTAGTCATTTGGCCTTTTTGCTTGTCCAGAACAATATTATTAGGGGAAATTACACTCACATCCTCTGAGGTTTATTAAAATGACACTGACACCCCTCTAGTTTTCAAATATGCACTTACCTTTCCCGATATCTAGTAAAATGACACTGACACCGCCCTTTAATTTTTAATGACTGTCAAAAACCATAGGTATATATGACATTTACTTACGGTTTTTCGTCTATCACTAAATTTTTTTGTTGGTATATGCATGTTTAGAAGATGTTTGTGCATATTTTAAAACTAAATAGCTGTCGGTATCATTTTAACATACCTCAAGGGATATGAATGTACTTTTCCATTATTATTATTACTATTATTATTATTATTATTATTATTATTATTATTATTATTATTATTATTATTATTATTATTATTATTATTATTATTATTATGAACCTAATATAATTACATGATAAAAAATAATAAAATGAATGTGATTTATTTTGTTATTATTGTCATTTTTTGTGCTATATTTAAAACTTTGCTATATGCAGAGGATAAAGAAATTTTAGTTAATGATACATTTTTTTAAAACATTTAAATGATAATATCCATAAATATTCATTTAAGGGGGTAAGTATACTAGTATTCATACCCATAGATACCCACAACAAAGTCCTAATTTATAGTGATAAATATATTTTATATACAACCTTGGGTTTAAACACATATCACAACCGACTCTCTTGTTCTCTTTTCAAGAGTATTTATTTCACTATGGGTTAGTCATTAAACTAATAAAAATAAATAATTTTTTGTTTTAATTGAGAAGAATTTATTTTTATTGTAAGTGAAAATTTCTTAATATTGATTGTCTATGTTTTTCATGATTAAGGTCCTTGTTTTTAAGAGTATCCATAAAGCATGCCACTTTGAACCCATCATTAACATAATCAAAATCAAACTGGTTATATGGAAGACATCTCTTATACCTTTTGTTGGCAGACTTCAACTTATAAAGAGTGTGATCTATAACATGATTATTTATTACATTAGTATTTATTCTTGCTCTATTAAGCTTATCAAAGATCTAGACAATTTATGAGGATTTTTTTTATGAAATGTGGATTTCAATAAGAGGAAAATGGTCATTGTGGCATGGAAAACAATTTGCATTCATGTAATATTTATTTTGTTTCCGACCGCCTCTTCAGCCTCAATCTCGGGTGTACCTGGTGAGCCACCCCTTTTGATCAAGTTTTCAATTGTATAATTGTGTTGTATGCATCCATTAGTGTCATGGCCTTGACTTTTGTGGAAATAATAGTATTTCAAATTATTTTTCATAGTTTTCTCTCTAATTGGATAGGGGTTCTTGATCTCAACTTCTTTGAACTTAGTGTTAGCGCATTCTCACTAAATTTTATTCATCAATGTGTTTAACAAAGTGTATTCAAAAAATCTAGATTGGGGTCCTCACTCTCCATTATTTCTATGATGGTTCCCGACTTTATTCGAGGTTTCTCTCCCCCTAGTTTTTCTCTTTAACGAGAAGCTTTTCTTAGTAGTTGATATAGGGTTGAGCCCTATTCAGTAGTCACTTAGACTACAAGCTCCCTCCAACCATAGTTTTTCTTGGAACATGAAATCTAATCTCAATCCTTTTAAGAATATCCAACATCTCATTCAATCATTTATACCTCCACTGCCAACTAGGTGAACCGATTGATGTACTCTCTCAGGATCTCTTTCTTCTTCTGCATGATTCTGTTGAGCACGACTCGCACAAAGAACGAATTACATAGTTCCTTCCCCAAATTTATGCTCCTATTTAGGAGGGTTCAGACCAGGTCATGGAAGCTCCCTTGAGGGTTAATGCAAAGAGCTTGCACATTACAACTCCCTGGGTGTGGTAATAGTCCAACCTATTGTCCACATGTTTGATGTATTCCTATAGACTTGTAGCATCGTTTAAATTTCTAGATTTGGGGGCTTCTCAAGGGACCTTAGGATCCCACTGTCTAGAATATGTGTGAAGTATGGATTCTCATTTCTCTTGGAGGTTAGAGAATCTGCATTGTAAATTTTCTTTCTTCGAGAGTAGTGTACTAGCGAGCTATGAGAATAGTGAACCTCATGTGAAGTCTGACTATCACTTCTCCCTCTAGAATCAAATGAGAAAGTTTGATGTCTTCTGCTTTGGTTATGTCTACTAGAGCCGACTGCGGTATGATTATACAGTCACCGCACTAAGCCGCCTCGCGTGTAGTATTGATTTTTGGAGGAGTGAATTACACGTTCTCTTAAATTATGAGTATCATTTCCATTAAGACTTGTGAGTTTTATGGATATATCCAGTTATAGACATTGTTTAGTAGGTCGAAACTCCCTTGCATGTCTAAGTTGGCTTATAAATGTTGAATATTTGAAAACATCGACAAAAACCTACATATTTCGTGTGTCTTTCTCCTTAACACATACTATTAAATCTTCTTTTTTGTAGGCCTTAGGCCTTGTGGACGTCACAAAACAATTCTAATTAGTTTTGAACAAGAAACAATATGAAAAAGTTTGACATTATAGGTATATAAATATTGATCTAAACTAATAAATAATCACCATTTTCTCTCTTTCTATTTTCTTCATCAACCAAATGAAAACTTATATAGACATTGTCTTAGTTTAATTTATTTTTTCAAAGTATTAGGTCTAAATTTTATTTAGGAATTAAAATGATTTATTACTCTTAAAAATAAATAGATTGATTTTCATGCCTCGGGAATGAAAAATCTTATACAAATTCATCCAATTAAATCATCTAAAATAAATGCTTTTAATGACACTTTAAAAAAGTAATACTATAAAAAACATCATAAAAGGATTTGATTAAATAAATATATAAAAAAAGTGTAACCTTTTTTTTGGGTGCATTCATCCTAGTAAATTGTAAAATAAAACTGTCACCATTTTTCATTTTCCCTAACATTAATTTGGAAATAAAAATATAAAAATAATGAATATTTTCAACCTGAGTGAGAGTGTGAGTTTTTCTCTCACATTGTTTATATAAATATACCAAATATTTTGCCAGCAATATACAAATGAAATTCTACTGTCTTTTCCAGCAGGCCTTTGTACAGACATAACAAACTTTCTTGTACCAAAGTTTTTGTCATTCCTATGCTACAACTACTGCTCTGCAGTAACAAAACCTCAACTCTTTCTTGTTTCTGCTGACCCATTTATGCAAAAACCATAAAGATCTTAACTTTTCTTGATTCAGGAAATGGGTTATCAAAATAAGCTTCTGGGTATGTTTCTATGGTTTTGCTTCATTGGAGTGAATGGTATAGGAAACTTTTCTTCTTCTGATAAAGGAGTTGTTGTCATTCATGGCAAGGCTTTTATTGGAAGGATTGATAATGATTTTGTTTGTGCAACTATTGATTGGTGGCCACCTGAGAAATGTGACTGGGAAAAATGCAGTTGGGGCCATGCTTCTCTGCTTAATCTGGTATACTTTCATTGTTTTTGATGTTTGGGGTGTTTTTGTTCTGTTGCTAAATGATTTATGTAAAAAAAATTATACCTTTTTTAGTAAAGAAAATCTTTTTGTACTAATTAATTGTGGAGAACAAATTTATTATTTTCTGGCAAAGTAATGATGAGATTATAGAGTTGATAAAGTTAAAGAGATGATTTTGATCTTGTAATTTTTATCTCATGCAGGACCTCAATAACAAAATTTTGTTAAATGCAGTAAAAGGTAATGGAGAATTCAGATTTCTGTTTATGTTTTACAGAAATTTAATTCATGTTTCATGACTAGTTTTGAGAGATTATTAAGCTAAAATTGCTTTTGAATGTTTTGCAGCTTTTTCACCCTTGAAAGTTAGATTAGGTGGCACCTTGCAAGATATTGTGACATATGGGACTAAAGATAATAGGGAATCTTGTGTTCCATTTGTGCTGACTCCTAAAGATAAGTTTAATTTTGGTTTCACTCATGGATGCTTACCAATGCAAAGATGGGATGAGCTAAACAGCTTTTTTCAAAAAGCAGGGTAAAAATCACTTCTTCCTTTAGAGTTATAAAAAAAATTGTGAATTAGGACTAAACAGATTCATCTTGTGTGATATTTCAGGGTTAAAGTTATATTTGGATTAAACGCTCTTGCTGGAAGATCTTTTACTTCTGATGCTGGTGGTGTTGCTGCTGTTGGACCTTGGAACTATGCCAATGCCGAGTCTCTTATACGATATACAGTTGCCAAGAAGTATACAATTCATGGTTGGGAATTCGGTAAGTGAATGGTTCCTTGGTTACAATTAGACTGAGAAGAAAATTGGAAATTACAAGAAGCTTTTTTTGTTTGACAGGTAATGAATTGTGTGGACATGCAATTGGAGCAAGTGTTACTCCGGATCGATACGCTTCTGATGTAATTGTTTTGAAAAATATAGTTCAAGATGTGTATAGAGGGGTTGAGCCAAAGCCTCTGATAATTGCTCCTGGAGGTTTCTTTGATACAAATTGGTTTACGGAATTCTTAAACAAATCGAGGGAATCCACAAATGTGATCACACACCATATTTATAATCTCGGACCAGGTAAGTTCCGACAAAACATGATAAGTCTTCGTGTTTTCTCAAATTCCGTGAGTTTGATTTTAATAGAAAGCTATTTCCATACAGGAGTTGATGATCACTTAGTTGAGAAAATTCTTGATCCAACCTTTCTTGATGGAGTGACTAACACATTCCGCGACCTTAAAAATGTACTTCAAAGTTCACGAACCTTGGCTAAAGCATGGGTTGGTGAAGCAGGAGGGTCTTACAATAGTGGCCGTCACCTTGTCTCTGATGCATTTGTAAACAGCTTCTGGTTTGTGTAACTCTCCGCGATTTAAGAATATATCAGTAGGAATTCCTTAAAAGCGTTTCATCGATATACTCATATCGAATGCAGGTATTTGGATCAGCTTGGCATGTCAGCCACTTATGGCACCAGTACATATTGCAGACAGACTTTGATAGGAGGAAACTACGGTTTATTGAATACAACTACTTTCATGCCAAATCCAGACTATTACAGTGCTCTTCTTTGGCACCGGCTCATGGGATCACGCGTTCTGTCAACTACCTTCTACGGAACAAAGAAGATCAGAACTTATGCTCATTGCGCAAAGGAATCTGTGAGTGAAGTTTTTGTAGTATGATTGTTTTATTTCGTAGATATGTTATTTTGTGAAATCTGATTTGATGATACTATCTTACAGAAGGGAATCACAATACTGTTTCTCAACTTGGACGACAGCGCCACTGTAAACGCACGAGTGACGTTAAATTATTCGAAGAAACCTTCCCCTCCTAATGCGAGAACGTCACAGAGAAGAGAGTATCATTTAACAGCAAAGGATGGAAATTTACATAGCCAAACAATGTTACTAAATGGAAACGTTCTAAGTGTAGATTCGGATGGTGATATTCCTCCATTGAATCCTATATATGTCGATTCTTCAAAGCCGATAACAGTTGGTCCTCTCTCTATTGTATTTGCTCATATACCAGATGCTGCTATTCAAGCTTGCAGCTAGTTACCTCGATGGAACTAGGCGAACCGAAAATCGGTTTTGCTTGGTGGTTGATAATAAAGTTAAACATAGTAGAATACACAAAAAAAAGTACTATTGTTAGTTTGTTTGGAGGGCCAAGCCCTATGATTTTGATTGATTTTGAATATTCCCAATAGACTATTCAGTTTATTATGACAACTGTATATTTGATTATTATAAATTGAAAGTGACTCATTCAATTCAATTTCTTACCATAGATAGTGAGTCGTTTTCTGTCGCACAGTTAATGTTGGATTCCTTAACGGTCATAGCCCGTGTAGTACGGACATTCTAAATTAAAAGCATGTCTCGTGTCATACGTGACACTGACACATATGATTATATTCAATCATTTATATTATCGTAAGTTTTTATCTGTTTTTATGTGTCTGACTCATGTCTGATATCTTTGTCTGTGTCGGTTTTTATAGCTCAAGTCTGTTAAGATTTTTTTTTTTTTTTTGACAAATAAGAGCCACAGAGATCAATCAGAGGCATGTGTACGTTTTTATGACCTTAATTTATCTTAGAACTAACGTTACAGAAATATGACAAGACAAAAGAATGAAAATTTATTGCATGAAAGTTTGGTGAGATATTAATGACTTTAAAAATGTTGACATTACTCAAATTGTCTTCTATGGTTGAAACTTGAAACTTGAAACTTAAAACCAAAGCATCAAAAGTTAGTATTGCAACAAATAATTGACTTAAAGATTACAAAACGTCACTGCTCTTTTTTGGTGACCAACCAGAATCATTTATAAAAAAGTATACACAACTGTTATAGTATGCTACAATTGAAGAAAACAAAAATGCAATATGCTACTATGCTACTATGCTATATGCTACGATGCTATCATTTCTTTGTACATTTAAGTGGTATCTAGTATCTAGATGGTATAAAAATGAATTTCAAATTAAATACAGAATGATATGCATTATATTATGAGGAAACATCTATAATTAGAGACAACCCACACTCCATGAATGAGTTATATCCATAAGGTAACTAGTGAAGGCTATACCTGCAATTCCATGTGCATCCTCAACAGTCATACCTTGAGAAAATAGAAGAAAAAAAAAGTCAGAATAGCCAGATACAATTAAAAACAAGTATATGAAGCTAAGCATGTTCTTTGACTTAAAATAATAATAATGGATATGAAGGAAGGTTCTTTCATTAATTAGAGCTAACCATTAGATTAGGAAAGAGAAAAGTAAAAGAAATATAATTTGCATTCTCAATATTTTACTACACTTTAAAAACCTAGAGCTCAATGAATCTAAATGTTAATAGACCAAACTTCCCTTTGAAGGAATTCAAACAACAATAATAATAAAATGTGGGGAATAAAAATTGGGTGGTATTCACTACATCCTAGGTAGGATTCACTACTATATGAAAATTCAAAAATTCCTTTTTCATTGTCCGGAGATTGAAATTCAAAATTCAAAAATTCCTTTTTCATTGTCCGGAGATTGAAATTCAAAATTCAAAAATTCCTTTTTCATTGTTGATGACGAGAAAACGCATCGGTTATATCGCTAGATTTCATTGACTTTTACCGCGCATTCACCGTTTTAACGCTCGATTCCTCGAGTTTTTCTTACTATTTTGCAGGTACATCGACATGTGAGGCCAAAATCAAGAATTAAGAAGAAAAGAACAAAGAAACCACAAGAAATGAAGCAAGACAGAAGCCTGCATAAAACTCTGCATAATTTGTTACGGCCACGGTCGTTACAAGGGTGTCACGACCGTGACACCTTGCTTTGGGCCCTCACGACCGTGGGGAAGTAGTCACGACCGTGACACTTGAAAACATAAAACAACGAGCGTGAAGACCTTGTCACGCCCGTGACAAGGATATAACTTGATTCTTTTGACTCAGACTACGTCAAAGCCACCAGTGAAGCCACTCCTCCTAGTAATTCTCACGTGAGGGAGACCTCTCCCACTTTCTGCTGCCACTTTCCAACATTTTCTCAACCACTTCAGCAAAGCCCAAGAAGCAAAAGACCCAGGACCAGCCCATTGGAAGCTCTATAAATAGGACCAGCTCAGGAGGATTCAGGGAGAGACTTCAGTATCCAAATTTCCTGCGGAAGCTCTGCCGAATTACCTTACCATCAGAATTATTATTCCAGCATTTTATTTTTCTGCCTTATTTTATTTGTATCCAAACCAACCGTGTAACAATTTCCAACATTAGGGAATTGTTATACCTTTACTTGTTTCCAGCCTTCAGCATTTCGTTTTAATTTTTATTTCCGCCTACTCCAAGCCTTCCGGTCTGTGGAAGAAGGAGTCTACTCAGATATTTGTTAATCAGGTTTTTCAGTTATTGCAATTTAATTTATTTATAATGTCTATTTATTTTTCTACCATTAGTAAGCTAATAATTAACTCTGAGTCTGATTTAACCTCGATGAGTAGCTAAATACCTTAGGGCGGTATGTAGTTATAACTAACTTAACCGGTAAAATATAACCATGGGCTAAAATAATTAATCGCTTAACATTCTGGCTGATACTTTTTAATTAAATTCGACCTTTTCATTACGAGAGTAAGAAAAGGGTATTAGGTTGGGTCAAGACCACGAGAGTGTGAGATTTTAACCAGATAGCTAAAGTTAGGCATTTAAATTAAATACAGCGAGAGCGCTTTAAGATAAATTAGAATTATTTAGTTTCCAAAAATTATCTCTAAACACTTATGGGCTAGCGAGAGCAGGCATAGGGCTTTAGGGATAAGATCTGATTCAAGACCACGAGAGTGTGAGTTGAGGGTATTCAAACTAGTAATCTCTACCGAATAGATTAAGTGAACATCTTTATAAGCCTAGGTTAGATTGACCCACCTAAGTTAGTATAATTACATACCGACCGTTTTAGTATTATTTCATTAAAAACTTAAATTTTATTCCGCCTTTAATAGTCTTAGAAAACCAACAACAATCGTGACAACTACTCGCCTTAGCTAAACTAGAAGTTCATCTAGCACTACGTAACGATAGAATCCCTGTGGATCGATAATCTTAAATATTACTTCGATAGGCTGTGCACTTGCAGTAAGATACCGCTAGACGCATAAGTAGACACGTCTTTGGCCCATCAAGTTTTTGGCGCCGTTGCCGGGGATTCCTTAATTTAGTTACTAGTGCGCTTAGGTAGCATTGTCTAGACTAAGGTATCAACTATTTAATTTAATCTAATCTCCGAGTGTATGCCACGTACTCGCTCCAAAAGCGAAGACTTGCAACCTCTAATCCCTGAATCGGAACGCTTCTTACACGTAAGAAGACGTATACTCGATTTCGAAAATAATTCCAACATTCCAGATCTTCAATTAGATCCGCCTGAACCAGTCGTAAAATCAGAGAACGCAAGAATGGCTGAAGAACAAACTCATCCACTCAAGTATTACGCTAATCCTTCGCAAGGTGAACCGCATTCAAGCATTGCAGCACCGGCTATCAACCGAAACGATTTCGAACTAAAACCATCATTGATATCAGCCGTGCAACAAAACCAATTCGCCGGAAATCCTACCGAGGATCCGAATCTTCATCTTTCGATCTTTGTACAATACGCAGATACCGTAAAAGCCAATGGAGTTACCCAAGAAGCTATCAGACTACGTTTATTTCCTTTTTCGCTTCGAGACAGAGCAAGAGCATGGCTCCAATCTCTGCCTTCAAACTCAGTAACTACGTGGGAACAGCTTAAGAAAGTTTTCTTGAACAGGTATTTTCCACCTAGCAAGACAGCTATGCTGAGAGCTCAGATCAACGGATTTAAGCAAAGAGAAAGTGAATCATTATTCGAAGCTTGGGAACGCTATAAGGATCTACTTAGACTTTGTCCACATCATGGATTAGTAGAATGGATGGTCATCCATACCTTCTATAATGGACTCTTGTACAATACAAGAATGACAATTGACGCTGCCGCGGGTGGTGCATTGATGGACAAAGAATATAGTGATGCCTATGCACTTATCGAAAGTATGGCTCAAAATCATTACCTTTGGGGAAGCGAGAGAGTCGCAACTGAGAAACCAACAAAGGGAGGTATGTACGAAGTAAGTAGTATGGACCAAGTCAATGCGAAGTTTGACCAACTAAGCCAAAAGATCGACAGCTTGGCCATAACACCTGCAGCCACCGTGGCTGCAGTAACACCCAACTGTGAGTTATGTGGAGTCCCAGGACACGAAGTCTCTGATTGTCAACTATTGACAGGAACTCCCACTGATCAAGTGAATTATGCTCAAGGAAACCCTTACTCAAACACATACAACCCAGGTTGGAAGAATCATCCGAATTTCTCCTATAAGAGTAACAATGCTTATTACGCACCAGGTCAAGCACCAGCTACATCACCAGGATATCAAAAGACTGCTCCTAATATCCCTAGAAAATCGAACCTTGAATTGATGATGGAGAGCTTTATAGCTAGCCAATCTCAGACAAACAAGGACTTCTTAAACCAAAACATTCACACTAGTGAGCAGATTAAACAATTAGTGAGCAAAGTAGATGCACTAGCTACACATAACAAAATGCTTGAAACTCAGATTTCACAAGTAGCTCAACAACAAGCACCTACTGCTGCACCAGCTGGAGTATTCCCTGGACAACCTCAACCTAATCCGAAAGGACATGCTAACGCTGTAATATTAAGAAGTGGCAAGGAACTTGACGGACCTACCGATCCAAGACTTGACAATCCAGCCATGTACCAAAAACCGGATAAACCGCCTGAAGTGGTGAATGATCCAGAAGAAAAGGAAGATGAAAGTCAAGAGGTAGTGGAGAAAGAACAACCTTATGTGCCTCCACCACCCTATAAACCACCAATTCCGTACCCTCAAAGACTAATAAGTTCCAAGACGACGGGTCAATTTAAGAAATTTGTCGAACTTCTGAAACAGTTGAATATTACTATTCCGTTTACAGAAGCAATTACCCAAATAC